ACTACTCCGTGCACTGCCACGGGTAAGTGCCCGGCCGAACTCCGTTGGGGTCATCGGCTCGTGACTAAATTGGACAGGCTGCATCCAGAACGTGTAGCTGCACAGGTGTCTCAGCCACACCCACCACGGGTCCTATGTGAAGGTGATCCTGTCTGGGCCAGGAATTACGGGCCTGGCCACCTCTGGGTCCCGGCTGTGGTCTGCAAGGTCTCGGGGCCTCTGTCCTACGAAGTGTCCCTGGAAGATGGCCGCGTTCTTCGCCGCCACATTGATCAACTACGTGTGAGACGGGACGCGCCTATGGTTCCTTCTCAGTCTCCTCTAGGGGGGGAGGAGGAATGGGGAATGCATTCTGGGAATCAAACTCAACAGCCAACGATGGCTGTGGGGAGTGAAACGGGTTCTCAACACCCAAGTTCCACAGGTGCTTCAAGTAGCAGTTCTTGGGAAAGGGGGTACACAGACACCCCCACACACACTCCAGCCTGGGAGTCCCACCGGTGGCAGACTACTTATCCACCCCTTACAAACAATACTCCAGACACGGAGAACACCTGGGAGCATACTCACAACTCACAACATGCAAGAGAGCAGGCAAAACAAAGGGGGAACACGTCCCTTGCTGAAATGGCTCATAGAAGGATGTCCTCACGCATCAGGGCTAACAGGGAGGCATCCCTAGACCCTATCACTACAGAAACGAGCCAGGAAAACCGCACTCCGTCAGGAAACACGGCAATGAGTTCAGAGGGGTTAGAAAACTCCATAGAGGGTAGGTCAACCAGGTTTAGCGATCAAAAGGGCCCTGACTGCTCGAATACAGGAGACGGGCAGGAAAGTCAAACTGAAGTCACCAGTCATCCACAGGGCAATTCACCTAGTGCAAGAAGCAACGGGGAAAACAATACAAACTCCCCAGGTCCGAGAAGGTCGCTCAGGGTAAGAAGCCCTCCCAAATACCTAGCCGATTACGTAAGGTGAGCAGGTAAATAGCAATAACTGAACTAGAGGTCCAGGCTGGTTGACTGTAAGGAAACAAGGTTGGGGGCCATTGGGTCTGGTTCAAAGGAACAGCCCCCACACCTTATACACTGTGTGACATTAACTCATTATTAATTATATTACCATCACTAGGATGGCGTCCATGTGGGCGCAGTCTTATTTCATCCAGGGGGAAGGGGTGTTGTGTCCTGAGCCTGCAAAGGCAGGCTCGGGACGTTGCAAGAGTCCCTGGCATTTGCAGAAGCTGCCCGGGACCAGACTGAGTGGCGCCGGCCTTGCGCACGTGCGCAAGGCGGGAAAAGAGAGCATTGTGATTGGTTGAACTTGCCCGGGGATCTGAAGGTATAAATAGAGGCCTGCGTGCCTCTGCTCAGGTTGTTCGTGTTATGGAAGCAGAGAATAAAGACTTGTTAGAAATGCTTCGTCTCAAGCGCCATTATTCTCCGGACTTAACAGTCCACATCTTTTATATATACATATATATATACTGCTCACAAAAATAAAGGGAACACATCCTATAGGATGTCTCATAGGATGTGTTCCCTTTATTTTTTTGAGCAGTATATTTGCTGATGCTTTATTTAAGTTGAATTTGTACATCAGTGATTGCATGACCTCTGTAGATGCCATACACTAAGTAAATAAATAAGTTACAGATTACCAATCATGGAGGGGATACTTATTGTTAGAGGCATAATGGGAAACTCAGTTGCCTGGGCCTGTAACATACTCCCTTTGCAATACGGTTGAGTCTAAAGCAAGGGTAGGCAACCTTGGCTCTTTTATGACTCGTGGACTTCAACTCCCAGAATTCCTGAGCCAGCCATGCTGAGGGGAAAGGGAGAGGTTTCCAAGCTGAGCCATTCTGGCTCAGGAATTCTGGGAGTTGAACTCCACGAGTCATAAAAGAGCCAAGATTGCCTACCCCTGGTCTAAAAGTACTTTTCAAAAGGCAACTAGACTTTCTTGAATATGATTGAGCAGCTGTCTCTAGTATCTAAACCACTGTTTCTCAAACTTGACAATTTTAAGGCATGTGGACTTCAACTCCCAGAATTCCACAGCCAGCGATGCTGGCTGTGGAATTCTGGGAGTTGAAGTCCACATGCCTTAAAATTGTCAAGGTTGAGAAACACTGATCTAAACCAACTGTACTTAAGATTTGGGACAGCTGAGGGATCAAGTATCATTTTCAACTCTACCCTAGTTAACACACAGTGGGATATGTACTGTGTGAACCAGATACTGTCTTTGGTAGAAGCTACAGGATGACAGCAATGAAGAATTGCTAGTAGTGGCCTAAAGCATGAAACTTAATTAAGCTGGTTCTGCTTGAAACAGCTAGAACAGTGGTGGCGAACCTATGGCAAGCGTTCCAGAGGTGGCACTCAGAGCCCTCTCTGTTGGCACGTGCACCACCGCCAGCAGCAGGTCCATCAGGCTGCCACCGCTGCCCGGAGCAGGAGCCCCACCCAGCACAAAGGAGGCGAAGCGGCCAACTAGCAAGCTCGAGTAGAGGTGGTAGAGCAGAGCTCACCAACCATTGTTGGACTGGAAGAAAAGGGAGGGGGAAGCATTTTGCACTGCAGATGGGGCGGGGCTAGTGCCTGTGTGATACTCACTAGCCCTGCCCCGTTCTTGCGTGATGCAGCGCCTTGTATCTCCACCCCGCAGTGCGGTGGCGGCGGTTTTTGCACCTTGCAGCACGGTGACCCATTTTTGCGCCCCCAGTTTTTGCATGCTAGAGGCGGCACTCAGAGGCGCCTCCCTGTCTCCCCCCCGAGGGCATCACAATGCTGATGCAGCCCTGGCACTTTGCGATAAACAAATGGGTTTTGGGTTGCGGTTTGGCACTCGGTCTCTAAAAGGTTCGCCATCACTGAGCTAGAATTTCAAAAGGATTACATAAGCAGAAAGTGTTCTTTAAAAGAGAGAAGGAAAATTAAGTCTGTCAGGCCAAGGAATATACAGGTTGTACAAGGGCATACTATTCAGGTTTTGGACAATCTACACTCAGATGCAAATTCATGAATATCCCACATAATAGAATAAAATGAATAACAAAGGGAATGGACGCAGCATGGGTGGGCCATCTTTAGATAACTGCAGTCCCTGGAATTCAGGCCGGCACCACTTAATAGAACAATGTGTAGGTGAAGTTTTGCTGAGGCAATCTATTGCTCTGGCCCCAAAAAAAACAAAACAAAAAAAACTTGTGAGCACTAAAAATGCTCCCTACTCATTACATTCTGAATAGTTTGAGACATAATACTGTTTACCTGATAAGATGGAAAATAAGTTAACCATCTTTCTATGTGAATGGCAAACCATCCTGGTATCAGACATTTCTTCTGCAGGATCTTAAGTTCTGGTGAAGCATGATGTCCTGCCGTGATCACTTGATAAAATGAAAATTTTAGAGCGGCTGGGTCTTTATGAAATCTTTGGTGCTGAAAAACAAATTTACGGATGTCAACTGTAAGGCAAAGTTAGTTCAAGTTCAGAATATACAACTGCTTCTTCATTTCTGAGTATTCACCTTCCAACGCAACTACTATACCTTCTTGATTCAAGGCCAAATACAAAGCAAGCATTTTGCTGGATTTAATACTAACAAGGGTTAGATGAACCAGTATAAAAGAGTACAGAAGCAAAAGTATGTAAAATGTAATACTTATAATATTTGTTTCAATGTTTTTAAGCATAACAATCTGGAAGATGGATTTTGGTTGTTTTTTGTATTTAAACTCTTGAATAAAAAAAAATTAAAAAATTGAAAATGAACAATCTGATTATTTCATTTGATAAGACATTTTATTGTTTGACAGAATCTTAGCAAAATAACAGTTATATTTTCTGTTTTCGCAATAAAGCTTTCTCTTGCTTGATGTTTGTTGACTTCTTTTTGCTGAGTATGTTTATTCTTAAATTGTAGCAATCAGTTCTCAGTGAGATGGCTTTCTGCCCAATAAACATCTGAATTACAATTAAAGAAGGGATGAAAAAGCTTTCATTGACAGTTTTTAAGTCTATCAATTATGGACTTGCCAATAATGATCCATACTTCTGACTATAATTGTGGCACGCAATGAATAACAGAAGCAAACCATCATAATTTATCATGCATACACATGGAAGTTGCATTTTGTTAAAATTTATACCTGGTACCAGGAATATGCTCGATCTGATGGATCAATGAGAATAGTTATGATTTTTGCCTTAGGAATTAAAGAAGCAGCTCGTTTAGGGGCTTCTTCAGAATGAAAATAATTAGCACTCTTCTCAAAGAGAAAATCAGTGGTTACATTGGATGGTGTAGGAAAAAATTCCATANGAATTTCAGTATCTAGGTTGCATATTTGTGTCCTTTTTAAAATATTACACGACTTATAAGCTCAAGAAGCATAAAATGCAGGCTTAGTACTTCCCCTTCCCAAACAACTGATCAGTGATTTTCAATCCATTTTTGAAATAGTTCTGTCAATACTCTTTAGTATGAATATGTTAAATGTATATTAAATCTGCTGAGCATCTTGTGGGGTTGTGGCATGAAATGAATGAAGTCAATGCATGAAACCAATAATTATTCTCAGCACAACTTTTCAGCTAGTCCAGCTAATATATTTTAACACTGAATGATTTGACTTTCTGGGTTATAGGAAAACCTCTTAACTTACAGATTGGCACATAAGATTCTATTTCTTTGAATATTCTTCATTTTTCCTCAAAATAAATATAGAAGCAATCAGTCTCAGTAGAATGGGAGCAGATTATGCATGATTAGCAAGTAAGATCAGATAAAATTAATTATTTCTGCTAAATACTAAGTAATTTTTAATGACAATCCATATGTGATTGTGTCCTAAATCGGCACAATCTAGTACCAACAACACATTTTTAAGTGCCACAAATTTAAAGGGCAAAGTTTCCCCCCACAAAATTTGTTGTATTTCAACGGAGTGGACTTTATCTATTATACATCTAAAATAAGGGTTTACCTCAGAGTCCATTGGAGGGTATTTTCTCCCTTTGCTCTTTCCAAGACATTTTGTTTTTCCTTCTTCCAGAAGTTGACACCAAAAACCTTTGTGTGAGTCAAACCTGAAACATATACTACATTTAAACTCAATAAATGTTTTCATTTCCTAGTTAGGCAAATGATAAGTCAACCCTTTTTATTGCCTTGTCTGCATAACCTTAAGCCTACTCTTTATGACCTCCAGACGGAATTAACGTGACTGGAGCCAGTAATTCAGCCAGCTACTATCTTGTTCTGTCCTATAGGAAGGACATTGTTATTTATTTTATTTATTTATTTATTTATTTATTGTTCGAATTTATATCCCGCCCTTCTCCTTGCGGACTCAGGGCGGCTGACAATCAATTAAAAACACCAATAACAACACAAAATTTAAAATTAATTAAAATGAAATATTTAACTTGTCTAATTTAAAATATAATTAAAAACTCCTCTAAAAACCCCTCTTAAAAATTACCC